GAAGGGAACCTCTCTTCAGCGGGGCGTTCTCGCCCCACGAGCGGCCGGCAGCTGGCGCCGAGGAGCGGGGGCTAGTGGGGACCACAGGGGCCCTAGCGGGCAGGACTGCCCAGCCGCCTCGGGCCCCCTCCCCCTCTCTCAGGGCCCTCACCAGGCCGGGTAGGTGCGAGGGGCACGCTGGCCTCGTCGCTCCAGGTGGAGCTGCCGCACCCCAGGTAAAGCCCCGGCTGGGGAGGGAGCAGCCCGGTCCTGCCCCCAGCCCCAGGCCCCGGGGGGGAGCCGTCCCAGGCCAGGACTCAAAGCTGAGCTGGGACACTGCTGCAGGCCTGTCACCTGCAGCCCGGCGGGGCAGCCACCGTTCTGTGGGTGCCCTCAAGACAGGCTCAGGCCCCAGCACGGCCTGAGTCCCAGTGCCCGGCACTAGGCCAGCCTTGTGAGCGTGGGGGCCCAGGAACAGGTGCCCAGTGGGCCGCGCGGAGACCAACCAAATGCTGTTCTGACTGTGGACCAAGCCACAGGCAGCAGGCACACACACGGTCAGTACGGCTCCTGGCTGCCCTGGGCCCCACGCCCCTTCCCAACAGCAGCACGGTGACCCACGGCGCCCACACTCACCCCTCTCTCCAGGGCCCCTGCCAACACCGCCGACCCCAAGGGTTCTGGATCCGCAGCAGCAGGATGCTCTGGCCAGCCTGACCCCGCAGCTCTCGCAGATCAGAGACAATGAAAGCGTGGAATGACCCCAGCGCCCCGGAACCTGGGTGGGAACGGCTCGTCATGGCCCGGAAGGCCCCACGGTGAGCAGACACACAGCTCTGTCTCCTTGCCCGGGCCGCTCCAGCCCACCCAGCCATGGCCGCACAGACCCCTGGATCTCCAAGGGCCACCAGGGGCTCCTCTCTTGACCAGTTGTGGACAGGCCCGCGTGGGAGCGGCCTTACCAAGTGTACAGCCACAGCCAGGGGCCTGGGTCTGGACTTTGGCTTGGTTGCCACCAGTCCCGGCAACTATTCCTTCTGTGGGCCTCGGTCCTCGCCTGGTGGATGGGGGTGGTTCTCACACAGGCTGCTATCATCACTGTCACTGGTGGGCCAATGACGCCAGAGAGAAGAGAAACCTCCTCTCGGGGAGGCCCGCTAGGGAGACCAGGGACATCAGGGATTGACCTGAAACCAGCGGGAGGCCCAGGGGCCCAGAAGTGTAAAAGGGCTCCACCTGGCCAAAGACCTTGGGACAAACGGGCATAGAAGTGGAGACACCAAGCAGAGGACGCTGCCCCACCTGGAAGCTGGGGTGGTGGTCCAGACAGAAGACAAGAAACTCCTGGAATGTCTTCAAAGGTTTACTCAGGAAGGCACTGCAGCCACCACTCTGGGTGTCCCACCCATGTCCCCAGCCCCTTGCCTCTTCGAGGGGCTCCAGCTGACCTCCATCTCTGCCTAGGGGTTCCCCCAGAGCCTGAAGTGCCAAGAATTAGCCCTACCCCAGCCTGGACAGCTGATGCCAAACAGGCCAGCCCCCACCTGTGTCAGAGCCTCAGCCCCTCACCCCCAGGGTGCTCCCCAACGCCATCCTGAGCTCTGCCTGCGGGGAACCCAGACCAGGGCTGTGCCAGCCCGCACACACCAGGCAGTGTGACGGTCAGCATGTGGCAGTTTATCTTCAGGTTCATGTTCTTTGGTCAAAAACCTGATCATGAAAATAATCTTAAACAGGAAAACAGTTCTGCCCAAAGACGTTCACCGCAGTGTTACTTCCAACAGCATAAAGCTGGGAAGACCCTAAAACCCCGGCACCGAGGAGGGAGCGAGGAAAACCAGGCAGACACGCAGGAAACGTGGTGCCGGCCACGTCTACACAGCAGTGGAGGAAGGGGGTAAACACAGAACATCAAGCACACGAGTGCTCATGAGAAGCACTGAGAAAGGGCGCTCAAGCCCGAAGCAGTCGAGTCTGGGTGACTTCTCTCCTCAGCACACGCTGCTCGATGAGCACACGTGTTACTAAGTGGATCCGAGCGCTCCCTCTGCCAGGTCACCAGCCGGGCCGGAGATGTCCCGCGACCTGCCTCCCAGGGACCCCGAGATGGGCTCCTGCCTCGCCCCCAGTGGGAAGTCCTGGCCAAGAGAAAAGGGACACTTCCTTCTGGAGAAGGGCAGTCAGGGAGAGATGGTCACACCCCCAGACGCCAGCTCCGAAGGACAGGGTCCTATTCTCTACTGAGTCCCGGAAGGACCACCGTAACACACGCCCGTGTGCTGGCGGGAGGCGGCGAGGGGTGCGGGTGCGCAGGCCCACCGCCACCGGCCTCCCGCCTCACCTGTTCTGGGGCTGAGCACCGAGCAGCTTAGCAGACAGCGGTCCTTCAGGCCAAGCAGCTGCCGGCAGGTCCGGCACTCCGTGGCCCCGGGCCTGTCCTGATGGCCACTAGTTCTCGCCAAGTCCTTCAGGTTCCACCTTTCTGCCAGGCCACCCGTTAGGTCCACCAGGGCATCCGCCACCTGCCCTGCCCACAGGTGCTCATAGGAGCCATGGACCCTAGGGAGACAGCCAGGAGCGGGTGAGGCGAAGGCCCTGGGCCCCCAGACCCTCTTCTGTCCCCCGCGGTCCATCTTCTGACCTACTTCAATCGCTTCTCCTTCCTCCCCCTTCACTCCCACCTTGTCCTCACCAAGTCCAGACACAATCTCGCCCCCAGTGGGTGATGCACAGGGTCCCGTACACCCCGCTGCCTCCGCCCACTCCTCTGGCTCCCACGACCAAGCCCACGGCCCGGACAGCAGTGTGGGACGGTGGGCTCACTCACACGGATGCTGCCAGCAGGCCCCTCACTTTTTCAGTTTCTCTGCCCGAAGGCCTGCCTAGCAGTCCAGCCTCTTTCAGCAGGACGGTAAGTGCGTCCTGAGAGAAGTTCTTCAGTTCAGACTCAGGTGAGGGCCCTGGTCTCACTCGGGGCCATGACAAACAAGCACTGACACCTCAGTGGCCTCATTCCTCCCCAGCAACTGGCAGAGAGGCCGCCTGTCCTCAGCGGTGGCAAACAAATGGTGGAGACATTTTTCTTGCTCAGGTTTAAGGAAAGAGAAAGGAGAAAACACACACCCTCTCTCTGGACTTCACGCCCGACTCTGAACGAGGGCAGGGAGAGGAGTGGGCAGCGGGGAGGGCAAACCACAGGCCAAGTCTCAGAGTTTTGCTGCTGGACTGCTTGGCCCCACCCCAGCACTGGCCGCCAGACCCTTGGTGCTGACCAGGGTGCGGCAGCCCAGGGGGAGCGGACGTGCCTCCCGGGGTCCCGAGCCCACCCCGCCCGGCCCTCCAGGCCCCTGGCGCTCGTACTTGGCGTAGACCTTCTCCAGTAAGGGAAGCCAGAACACATCCTCTCTCTGGCACCGGGAGAAGCAGAGTCTCCCTGCAAGACAAGGCAGACGGTCATCTATGGTCACCTCCACCCAGTGTCCAAACTGCCAAACTCGACAGGTGAAGGAGCCACGGTACGTCCGCTCGAGCCAGCTCGGCTGTCCTGGAGGGAAGACCTGCCACGTGCGGGGGGAGGCAAAAGGAGGCCGTGAGAGACGGGCATCAAGTGTGCTTTCAAGCACCCAGACCAGAGTGGGACCGTGCTGCTGTGCAAAGGACTCCACCCTACCCCACGCCCAGCTGCCAGTGCTCATGGAAAACCCAGTCGCTGGACAGAAGACCAACAGACCTTTCAATTAAACATGCTAAGACCACACTGAGCGAGCCAAGTGTCTCCTAAAGCTGAAAGTCAACCAGTACGTCCCACTGTCCCAAACAAGCACCTGACCTGAATCTAAGCAAACTTGACTTTGCAGGCCTGAGTGACCCCATTCTTGACTGAGTGGCTGAGGTGGCAGGTCCCCAGGGGCACAGCACCCACCCCCTTCCCTGCTGGAGCCCGGGCCTCAGGAACTCTGCCAGCGCCCGGCCCACCGCCGTTCACTGCTGGGTCTGCGATCCCGGCCCCGTGTGGAGAGGCAGGAGGGCTCTGCGCCCAGGCAGCCTCGTTTGGTCCTGGCTCTGCCCCTTAGCAAGACGATGACAGTGGTTTCAGCGCCCTAATTTGTGAGAAAGGGCCAAGGCCGGCAAGGCGTGCAAGAATGACAGCCAGCACCACAGCGTGCTTATTAGCACGGGACCCGGTCACCAGTGTCAACGAAGCTGAGCTCATCAGTGACTCTCAGCACCAGCCAAGCGTGACGACCGCGAGGAGGGTGTCCGAGAGGCTGTCTCTACCTGCCCTACTGCCTAGCATCAGGAACTGTTCTCATCACCGTCTGCCAACCGATACAGACCCTGTAAAAACCCCGACAAGCCAGAGACTTACTCCCCACCAGGAGCACAGGATCCCTCAGCTGCCCCTTCCCCTCCCTGGGCTGGCACGCTTGTCTTTATTCCAGTTGCACGGCTGACTACATGGGAACGCAGGGCCGAGCAGGGCAGAAAGCACCCTGGCTGGACGCCTGCAGGAGGGGGTTGTCTCTGCATCTGAGCCCGGAGCGCCCACGGTCTGACAGCCCGGCTCTCACTGTCCACTAACCACACTGGGCAGTCGCGGCAGAGCCCCGCAGAGCAAGAGGTTAGCTGTCCCCACTTCCCTCCTGCGCATGCAGACAGGGAGAAAGAGCAGGGAGGAACCCACGAGGCTGCAGGCACCTGGTCCAGGAGGTGCTGGCTTTTCTGCAGGGCGGCGCAGGCGCACAGGAACCAGCAGTCCCCCAGCAGCCCTTGCTTCACCTGTCCTTCCTGCGGGTTATCTGCAAACAGCCGGGGTGTGGCACAGATTTCCTGAAAGAAAAAAAGGTGTCCAGAATTACACCATGCCTGATGGCTAGTCTTTAAAACAAAGAACACAGGATCTATGTGATGGCAGCTGAGGAGGAGCTTTTCTGGTCATCCACATTGTCCAAGTGGATGGGGGGAGGCGGCAAAACAGCTGGCTTCTTGCAGGAATTATCCATCTGCCCCTCCTGCTTCAGAGCCCCGTGTCCAGCTTAGATTCTGGGGTCCCTGTCTGCGTCCACATTCCTCAATTGGCTAACCCCCCGACTCTGGATGAATCTTCCCCTCCCCTCCAGACACCTTGTTCATGACGGCAAGTCTCAGGTGGGCTCCCTGAACTAATTCTCTCAAAGGCTCAATATTCACATGCCAGGCTAGTGTACACCTTCTCCTTCCTCCTTTTCTCAAAACACCCACGTCCCCTGAAGCAGGTGACCTCATGACCCGATGCTTCCTCAGGAGCTACCTGACCTGACCCCCTCTCCTGCCCTATGTGCCTGAATTCTTCCCACAACTCCCTTCTTCTCCCACCTCTACACAGAATCCCACCTGCATAGAGCACAAGAGAGAATGTCTTGTCTTCTCTGAGACCATCCGTGGGCACGGTTCCCCTCTTGGCCCTTCACTGACAAACTTCTCAAAGCAGCTGCTATCCCTGCTTCCTCCCTTCCGGTCACTTGGTCACTTGCAAGGCCAGCCCGCTGAGCCAGTCATGCCCCTCAAGCTGCTTCTTTTCAATGTCGTCTCTGTGTCCTCATCTTTCCCAACGCTTGCAGCACTGGAGCAGTGGCTGCCCCTCCCCCAGCGGTCCCCTCCTGGCTTCCATGATTCCATGCACTTTTGGCTCCTTCCACCTAACTGCCTGCTGCTACTCAAGTCTACCTGTTAAGGTACCTGGGGTCCCCCAAGGCTCATTTCCAAGCCCTCTCTTCTCTGTCCATGCTTTCTCCTCAAATACTCTTCCAGACCCTGGACAGTTAGCCATCTGTTACTGAGCCAATGCCCAGCATCTGGCCCAGATCTTCCTGAGCTCCCAACTCTCACATCCACTTGCCTACTGTCAGCTCTGCTTGAACATGCGAGACCAAAACCCAGGCCTAGATTTCCACCCTACCCTTCCTCCACCCCCAGTTCTCCCCAGCATGTCACACAGGACCACTGTTCACGCGGGGGCCCAGGCTGGGAACCCGGAAGTCGTCCCTGATCTCTCCTTCATCCTCACCTTCTGCTTCCAGTCGGTCACCGAGACCAATCAACCCTCTCTTCAAAGTACTTCTCAAATCCACCTGCTCCAAAGCACCATCCTAATGGCCGTCACGCTAATCTAAGCCCCTTCGTCTTTTGCCAAGATCACTGCAATAGCCATCTGTATTCTTTCCCAACAATCCATTTCACCTGGCAGTGAGAGGGCGCTTCCTAAAACAAATCCAGCGGGGAGGGTAGAGCTCAGCGGTGGAGCGCATGCTGAGCACGCACTAAGTCCTGCGTTCCGCCTCCAGTAGCTCCACCAAAAAAGTTAAAAACACAAATCTAGTTGAACCACTCTTCCACTAAAAACAGTCTAATGGCCTCCTAATGCACCTAACACCCTTTTTTTAACCCAAATTCCACTGGCATGGCCGATCAGGTTCTTTGGCCCTGGCCACCTCCATGACAAACAGTGTTGCCCAAGGAAAGTAACTGTTGCCAGAGCCAAACGAGTCTGGCTTTGTTCCAGAGCTGGTGCCACGTAGATGTCTCCGCTAAGGCTGTATATACACTCAGAGTGCAGGGCTGCCCCTTGGGCAGTCTTACTCAGCCAATACACCACTTCTAAAGATTATCAACATAGCACTAGCCAGGAGCATCCCTCTAAACTGCCACCTTAAAACGTTCACATCTGAAAGAGCAAGTGCACAAAGTCCAAAACAGGAATTTGGGAGCAAAACGGCTTTGCTTTGTAGGCTCGGTCTGGCCCCTCCGGAAGAGCAGGAGAGTAGCGCACTCAAGCAGCAGAACAAGACCGCTTGTGGCAGAAGAGCCACGCAGACCAGGAGCCCATCAGAGCGGAGGCAGGCGGGGCTCAACCTGCGCCTGAGAAAACACTTCGAACCGCTTACTGAATAGAGCGCTGGCAGGTGGGGCCGTGAGCTTGGGTCCAGCACACCCCGAGCGCGCTGGAGAGGGAGCCGGGACGCAGTCCTGAGGGCGGCGGCGGCGGCCGCGGCAGCAGCAGACCCTGCCGACCGCTGTGTGCCCAGC